GTTGGAAGAAAAAAAAAAAAAAAAGAGCACCATGGTTGGGCCACGGCCGAGATGTCTCGGCCACACCCCAGACTGGCCACGGCCGAGGTGTCTCGGCCACAGCCGAGATTCGCAAGTACTACCCTTCACAGGCAAACACGAAGTCTCAAGAGTAGCCTACTCCGAAGAATTTGGGGGCTCGGGGCAGGGATGGAGGCCAAAAACGAAAAAAAGAAAAAGAAGAAATAAAAAAGTAGAGAAACGAGGAACTTCGAATCCACCTACGTCGGGAAGGCCCTCACCTCGAATCCACCTACGTGTACCTATGTATTGTTGACTTTTCGTAGGTCGGTTGGATATAGAGGGCTATATGTGGGGCACCGGTTGTTACGGTTGCTACCTTTGTTTTTTTATAGGTCGGATGGATGTTGTAGGGATGAATATTTGCGAATGACTCATGTCATATTTTGGTACTAGATGTGATTTGAACCCGGACCGATGTTTTGTCAAGTTTACTTTCGAACTCCATAGGAGCTTACGTAACGTTTTCTCGAAGAATAGGTACCGCGACTTCTCAATACTTTGGGAAGACTCTTTAGATCATGATATAAGCAGTCAGATGGAGGTCCTAGTGACTTCTCAAGACCCCTGATGAGTCATGATTTGGCGGCCACGTGAAACCGGTCGGGTCCTACGCCTGCGATTTCATCGCATTGTGCTTCACGACTTTTTTATGGAAAATCAGTCGCGTTCGGGTTTCATCAATGCTTATCCTGTGTCTTTTTTCTCCATCTTCTTCTTCTTCTATTTCTCTTCCTTCTTCTATCTCTCTCTCTGCACTACGGTCTATGATTGCTCTGTCGTTCATTGCCCGAGTCAGTTGATACTTGCTTGTGAATGCTAATTAGACTTTCACACACGAGGTAACCGACGTAGGAATCGTACTACTGTTGAGTGGCCTCGAGCTACAATGGCGACGAATGGCAATTTACGTATCGACAACCGAGCATGCTATAATTGTGGGCAAGCAGGCCATATCTCCCATTATTGTCCGCTTCCTGATAGGCGCGCTATTCCATCCACTAGCACTGCTATAGTACTGGCACAACCACTTGTGACGATGCCTGCTGGTAATTCTTCCATCGGCACGGCGGCCCCTGTGACCACTTCGTATTCTGGGCAGTATGGTGGTCAGTATTCGGATAAAGGGTGGCTACGCAATCGAGTGGCGACTCTTGAAGACATCGTCGGCAAAATCAAGGAAAAGCACGATGCAGATGAAGCAAAGGAACTAGCAGCGAAAGAAGAAGAAGAACGGAAGAAGAGAGAGAAAATTGAGGAGGATCGTCGGTTACTTGAGAAACAAACAGGGAGGAGTGACAATTGAAGATGCGAGAAGATTTGAACAGTCGTTGGGAGATGGTATGTGAGAAGATTGACCAGAAGGACAAGGTGAACAATGAAGTTGCTAAGTTACGGGAGGAAGTTGCTCGGATGACTCAAGAGAATGATGTGAAAGAACCATCCTCTTCGGTGGCCAAACCTTCGCTTGAGGACGACGTTGTTGGACGATTGAAAAGGGAACAAGATGAACTGCGGGCGGTAGCTGATCGGCGTTTTGCTCTGCTCGAGGAAAGACTTTCGGCGTTGACCAAGGCCAAAGAGGAAGCAGAGGCGAACGCGGAACTGTGGAAGGCAGAAGCTCTCCGCCCTGGCAATAAGAGGGGAAGCATCGCTGTGGGGCAGACTCCTGTTTCGTATGCCATGGTATGACAACGCAACACACCTTCTGGGCTGCCGACTGAGCCTCGAGTTAACCCGCAGATCAAAGGTATTGTCGAGAGTCACAACATGGAGGTTGACCTGTTAAAAGAGATGCGCTTGAAGGACGTTAACGACAGGATCGAGGCTGAAAAGGAGGTTGGAAGATTAAAGGAAGCGATGGCTAAACTTGTGATGGCGAAAGAACAAGGGACGAACCTGAAAAATCGGTTGGATGAAGTGGCGGGTCCATCCGCCAGGAAGGTGGGCTACTCTTCAGTCAAGAAGAAATGTGCTTAGACTCCGAGCGAGCAAGTTAATGAGCGGGAGGCCTTTGCAAGGGCGGCGCGTAAGCAAATAAAGAAGTTGAATAAGGAGCAGGTGATGGAAATTTGCAATAAGGAGGGGGTAACTTACACGAAGTTGGAACAAACAAAGGAGGAGATCATCTGTCAAAGGATTGCAAGAGCGTTTGACGAAGAGAAGGGGAAGGGTGCATCCGTTTCTGTGGTCGAAGTCACTGAGGAGGAGAGCGACGACCTAGGACGTAATGACGGGCAAGACACCGCTACTTCTTAGTGTCTTGCCCGAGCGCGACGCGGCTATGGAATATCGTTCGTTTTCTATGTAAACTCAGGTCCTTTTCTTGCCAGTTGCTACGTGATCGTACCGTGAATCTTTTGCTGAGCTTTGTAGTATGCCTTCTGATTGTTTCGGGACAGATACCATGGGGAGCTAAGCTTATTCCCTTTATTTGGAGTTTTCTGACGACTAAGGGAGGTGGTGAGAGTGAATGGAAGGGACCTGTAGTTTATGTTTTATTTTCTCCGTGGTGCAAAAACCTGTACATTGGGAGCACTGGGAGAAACGTACACACTAGGTGGGGAGAACACGTGTATCGGTCAGCACAGCTTAAGGTAGCTGAAGGAGGTCGCAGGAATGAGCGTTTGTACACTTGGATTCGTAGAAGGGGCTGTGCTAATTATGTGGCTATTCCATTGTGTGCTTGTCCCAATGGAAATCTTCTGGAGGTGGAAAAATTCTTTATTCGCTTAATATGTTCAACACTCAACACTCGTGATAAGAGGAAACGGACGAAGAGGAAACGGCTTGGGTGTCGTGAGAGGAGAAGGGGAAGGGAGCATGGGCAGGATGCGGTAATAAAGAAGGTAAGAACCAGCTGAAGGTTGGCGTGTTTTCATTCCAGTTCTGGGGAAGTTTCGCGAAGCTTGTTGAAGATCCTTGAGAGGTGTAGTGATCATAAGATTTGATGTGTGCGCGTTGTATGTACGGGGGGAGACTTGTTGACTGACAAGTGGAAAATTTTGAAGCGACGGTTTGGGGGAAGTATTGTTTCTAGTGTCTTCGGTCGAGTTGAGATTCGTCATGCTCGAGGATGGTTGCAAGGAGGTGTATGTTTTGAGATGGAGAGTGTAATTCCCTTTTTATGTAAATCTCTTGTGTATAAAGGGCCGCTTGCGGGTTTTTTGACTGATCGACCGAGTCGACGTCTTATGTTTTCTTGGAGTTTCGAGCACATGATCTTTGCCTACACTGCTATTCGTACATTTAGTGAGAAGCGTACTCGGTCAAGACTGAGAGGTCTGCTATCTGCGAACATTAGGACGCGGTTTCAGGTTCAAGTCCGACAAAGGTTGGTTATTCGGGTTACATATGATGACAGGGTGAGTAAAGCCCAGGTGCGCATGTTGTGCTCTCAGATCTTGTCCGCTTTGGAGATTAACCTTGCTTGAAAACTGATGTTGATTAGGAGGCTGCGGGTCGTCTGGTGTCGGAATAAGACTATTGGCGATTTAATTCACAATTTTCGTAAATACTCGAGGTGTCGGGATTTCCCGTGTGTTTGTGAACAGATTGATAGTCGGCTCCCGCGTGTGAATGGCCATGTAGCTCTACGATTAAACAACTCTGATTTGGTACTGACGTGGATGAGGAACTTCAGGAATATTGTACGACCCTCTAGGATTTACTCTGCATGGTGTTTAAAAAAGCAGATCTTATCATCCTTCTCTTTCCATCTGTCCTTACCATCTGTCATTATGGTGATGATTTCTAATTCGACTGTTGAAGAATGTTTTTCATCCTTTTCAGATTCCACTTCGCTTATTCTCTCCTTCAAATTTGCTACCTCTACCAGCTCTTCTTCTACTTCCTTCTGCTTTCCATCGGCGCTCATTGGGAACTTTTTGTCTGAGGATGACGTCGCTCCTTTTGTTTCCTTATTTAAAGGTTTGGTATGTTCGCCTATCGATCATAATAACGGTGACACTTCTGTTTGTTGTCCTACGGTTTACGGACAAGGGATGAGCAAGTTTTTTTTCGGAAATCCGGCATTTGAGCTTTG